CAACTCCCTACAGTGTAGGTTAATGGACTGACACCTATCAGAAAACAAGTACTTCCTGGATAATACCACGAAAGGCATTGGATTATAACCAACAGGTGTCAGTGCAGGATTATTCACTGAAGTTATTCCTGCATATGCTTTTGGCGATACAACTGCCGCAATAGATTTTCAGTTATTGGAACACACTTGCAGAATGGTTTCGTGCTGTTTGGCCACTCGTCAGTGCAAGGTAGTCGATGATTTCCGATAATTGAAAATCGAATTCCTTCAGAGTATCATTCCTCGAACTAGGCTGAAGCGGACAACAAACAACAGATTTATCATCGCCCCATCTGCCTGTGAACGAGGTAAACAACCGCATATCCGAAGTTTGTCCAATTCCTCGTATAAGAAAAGAAAACTCTTCACATATAGTCAGTGAGCATACTTGGAGATTGGTATGTATAGCCTGTCTTCAAGTATGCGCACTGACTATAATATGAGAAGAAAAAAATAATAGATGAAGAAAACCACAATATACAAATATAGCATTATTTATTCGCCCCAGCATGCTATTCATTATGATCAATACAATTCTCAAATTCTAATTTAATTATATGTAGTTAAAATTCTAATCCAAACGCATCAAAAAACAATGACGCTGATATTTATAAAATTACTACAACTCACAGCACAGCATAAAGCTCAGTACTGATCATTGAAAAAAAACAATCACTACAGACGTGTAATGAAAATGATGACAGAATTTCATAAGATGCGGCAAAGGCCCGGCGCTGGAAAGTACCTACGCTCCAACAACGATGGAGGAACAGATTGCCATTGTGTATTTGAAACTTCATGAAATGTAATGGGTGAATTGAGTTGAACCGTTGCCATCAATGTCCCATTGATTCCAGTGATAGCCCGGCAATGAACCGATCATCAAGTTTTGCTGGGATAGATATAATCAATTCCGTTTAAAAAGAAACTAATTAATATAGTTTATTGTATGATTTTCACTATAGTTTTAACATTGATTTTCATCAAGTATCGTCCAGTTCTGTTCAATTCCATTCTAATTGACCTTGACGAAGATATTGATAGCGATCAAATTAGCCTAGATGAAAATTTTATTATATAGAATCAAAAGGTAACGAAAATTATAATTACAAATCTGTGAAATACTTGTTTTCTGTTTTTTTTTATCAAAGTGCTATTGAAAAAGGATACGTATTGTAACTACCATTTTTTGGTGTTCTACCTGTTCACTGTTGTCAATGAAATAAAGTATTTATTATAGCAGGATGATTGGGTTTGATACTGGAATAGCACCAAAAATATCAGTACATAACTAATTTGTACCTGTCCACCTATATTCGATGAGTGGACACAATCTACAAGAGTCTACAAAATAGCAAAAAGAAAGATAGAACAGTCTTACAAGAATATACGTTTTGCCGTTCACCCTCCACTTTCCTAGATTGATTAGACAAATAAATGAAATATGCATTGCTATGAAAATAATCTCTGGCGTTTTTGTGGTGTAAAGATGTACCCTTGGCAAATATTCTTCATTGTGAAAATTAGAAATTATTAAAAATTCAAGATGAAATTCAGGACGAATTGCCTCATGTGCCTTATTACCCAAGTTATTCACCTCTATGCATGTGTTATCTGATTTATACGACATGCTTCTTTGTTTGTTTCATATAAGATATTTAATGTTTTCATGAAATACCCGTACTTGAGACATTCCGTATGTTGGTGTAATGGCGACGCATATCTTTAGCTCAAGGCAAAAATCTCGACCCAAGTAATAGGTAATATGTATGTCTTATCAGATTTGTTCTGCATAGGGGAGGAGCAGGAAGTCAGGTAGACCCGGGCTGAGGAGGTGGGTGTAGGATTCAATTTGTAAAGAAGGTAATTTCAATATTGTTCGAGATATATTATTTCCGGTGAGGTTTTTTACTCTCTCGTAGTAAGAATGAGCTGGCAGGTAGAAAATGATTGGAATTCAGTATTTTGGAACTTGATCATTGTAGTAACCTACGAAATCTTGTTGAAAATTACATTTTCAAAGTTGAATATGTTAAGATGCTTACTCAAAATTTAGTTGATTACATTTTCAAACTGATGACCATCCGTGACACACTACCAGTAATAAACAATTTGTTCAAAACTTTTTCTCACGTTTCGAAGCACAGATAGGATTTATTAGATGGTACTATCGAGAAAATTTGAATTTTTGCTTTTATCGATTTTCAGATATTGCAGGTTTGATTATTTTCCTTTATTTTATCTATGTCGTAGTGTGAATTGATATCGTGATTGTTTTTTAAAAGGTGGCAAACATAAGTGGAATTGGTCGTCTTCAGTTCAAATCTTCTTTTATGTTTGGATCCACTGATTTGTTATCTTTATCCAATTTTGACTCGTTCTTCATATGTTTACCTAAGGACTTACCAGTCTTATATGCTATGTTAATGTTCTCTCCTATTAGTAGTCTCTTCATTTTATCTGATGGTTTTTCTGTACCTATTATATGCGATTAATGAATCGATGAATTATTGTATAGAAATGTATAATTGTATGAAATGTTATTGCAAAGTACTTTCGACTTTCGTTGTCATCAGTGCTGACTCGTCAGGCAACAGGAAGTATCGAAATATGACAACATAGTACATTTTTAAAATTTGATTTGTATAAAACTAATTAGCCTGATAACCAACGAAATACATGTTGGTAATTGAGGCCATGTGGTTAGGTCAATATGTGATGTATGAAGGACAACTTGTGACAATCACATACTGACAACTTGTGACAAGTCACAAGTTGTCCTTCATGTATCACATATTGACCTAGCCATATGGCCTCAATCTCAAACATACAGTGTGTAACATAAGTACGTTAAAATATTTAAGTGACGTATTCCTAAGACAATTTCAAGAAAAAAGTCTAAATGAACTTGTGTCCGAAAATGCTTCGTTTCGAAAATACGGGGTGGGGTGTTGAAATTGAATTTTTTTTCGCTTTTTGAAAATAACCCTTGCAAAAAAACAAGTTATATGCACGAAATTCGGTACCCGGGTTTTTTTTTTGACTTCGTATTATTTTCATGTAACATAGAGAGAGCGCTGCGTACGCTGTCATTATTTATTTCAAATTGCCCTAACTTTTTTGACAGTAAACTTTTGGTACTTTTCATGAAAAAACCTATTCCCACACCTTTTCCAAGTAAAAAAGGTACACTTCCTCAATAACGCTGGAGGTGATCGTTTTCGAGATATTTGAAATTATCTATATCGATGCGCTCCTAGGGCGCTAAGTGAAGTTGCATTACAAAAACTAAGTATGTGGTGGATCTCGTCAAAATAAACAACTTTTTCCTATAAAATGTTTAACGACGAATGATTCGTTTTCGAAATAGAGATGGTTGAAATGTTTCAGAACATGGTAGGTTTTTGTCACAAGTTTTTTGCAATTTCAGTTAGTTTCAACAAACTTTATATGCAGTATACCCGTACAGACTTCTTCTAAACCGAGAATTATCGAACTGCTTATTCAATCCGAAATGAAAAAATTTGTCAGGTATAATTATTCAATTAGAAAGTGCTACATTTTGTTTTGTAAAAAAAAACAATTAGGAAANATTGCATTAGAGGTATTTAAAATTATTTAAAATCCCTAAAAGAACCAATATAAATGTCATCACCTGATGACGATTGTGGATACCATCAATCAAAACGTTGTAAAGAAACTTGGCTTGAAATCTCTTAATTTTTTATTTTTTGTTTAATAGTACTATTTTTTACTTGTATTTCATTTCACTGTAATTTCATTTCAGGGTTTTTTGCTTAATATAATTGGTATTTTCAGCTAATTTTTACAATTTTTCATTTGTATTGGTTCTTATAGGGATTTCAAATCATTTTATGAAATATTAGACAATGGAAGTCCGAACTATGAAATTCAATATTATTGTTATTTTTAGCTATTCATTTTGATTTTCATTATGAGTATCATATTAGTCAGAGGAAGCCCAAACTAGTAAAATTACCCATGAAACATTGTCAACTACTTTCAAATATTCATATGATCAGTTTGTAAAAATTTGGTGTATTGGAAATGATATACTAATCATGGTCACGTTTTATTGGTTCAATATAATGAACCAATATTTCTCGAAGTGGGTTTCAATAAGCTTCTAGTTTGAAATTGCTTTAACTCTGACCTTTATTTTGAAGTGATCTATTGATACAAATATTGGAATAGAAGCTCCCATTACCCATGACGCTCTGATTAGAAATGAAACAAAATTTTGTTCGGATTTCACGTGGTTGCTTTATTCATTCCGAGTTATGGCGAAAAATTGATTTATACCAAATTGACTTCCTCTTACATTCATTCACGATGACGTAAATCTTTCGAAGTTTCGGATTATAAATTCGAATTCATCAAAGAATCAACCTGGAGTATAAAATTATATAACGAGAGTTCATAATTTGCTTTGTTTTCTGCTTAGAACAGCATGACAAATGAATACCTTGCGCTTAATGTGCTCCGATGCACTTTCGTTGTCTGTCTAAGGGGAATCTGTTTTTGTTTTGTAAAAATATGACCTCGAAATCAAGTTATAATGATTCGGTTATGTCATGGGTTTTTCAACTTCTGTAGAATTGGGTTTTATGAATAAATCTCTTGGTATTCAAAAGGATCTGCCCACTTCTTTTAACATTATTTCATAAAGTCTGGTTGAAATGAAGTGAAGTACCAAATTGATTCCATTACATTGTGTACAAGAAACGAAATTGAATTACGGGTTCAAAAAATCAATATTTCAAATCATTTCTGAATGTATTTCTGTAAATATGTAAGAAATCACATCCAGTCTTGTTCCCATTCGCGATTATTCTTGATAAAGAAGAGTGCATTTCATAGTTTCAACTATGGTAATCTATTGCAAAAATAGGATTATTTTATGTTTTTCTAGAGGAAATATAAAAGTCAACTTGAGAGAGCTACTCGCTTCGACGGTACATATACTAAAATCGGAACGATGCAGAGAAGATTTGCATGGCCCCCGCACAAAAATGACACGCAGAATCGTGAAGCATTCACATTTTTCATGAGGATGTTAGAAGAGAAAAACACTCCACGCAAGATTATCTGGTTGATTTCTAGTCCGAAATTCATGAATCATTACATCACAAGGGCATATGATTCCGGTATTTAATCCTAGACACCTTACGGAAGTGGTCATTTGGAGACAACAACATGCTGTTCATTGCAAACTTCCTAAAACTTCGCGAATTCTGTGTCAGAGCCAATGGAACGTTATCTTCCTTCAAAACTCAGGAGAATGGTACTCCACAGGGTTCTTCACTAAGTGTCACGTTATTCCTCATAGCCATCAACAATATTATAAACAAATCTTGAGCATCTCTCAAAGCAAGTATCTTTGCAGATGACCTCATAGTTTTTGGCAAGGGAAATAATCCGATCTCAATTCACAACAATCCACAGAGATTCATGATCAATCTAGAAGAATAATAAGAATGTGTATATGCATTTCTCGAAAAGACCTGAAGAACACCCATCTCAACTGATGATGTTTGGGGAATATATTGAGTACATTATTGAGTATATTAAATCCTTGGGACTGATAGTCGACCAAAGACCCAACTGGAAATCTCACATCCAACATTTGAAAAAGTCCTGTCAAAACTGCCTGAAACTTATTAAAACAATCGCCTCAAGAAACTTGGAATCGGACTTCGCTACGCTCATGCTTGTATTCAAATCTTTGATAAGTTCAAAATTGGATTATGGTTCTATAGTGTATAACTCTGCCAAGATATCAGTTCTGAAAGATCTCGATGTAATAATCAGCAACAACGCCATTAGAGTTGCATTCGGAGGTTACTGCACAAGTCCAACTACCAGCATCCATTGCGAAGTAAGTGAACCATCATTATCCTCAAGGAGACAATTACTTACTCTAACATACAGCTCCTCTTTATTATCATTTTCGAGAAAACTTGTCCACCAACGTAATTGCGAATAGATTTCAAATTACTATGAAAAGAAGAAGGGGGCCAACTCCCTTTTATGAGAGAATGAACCTCACAATATGATAAGAGTAAGTTGAACCATGGAATGATCAAAGCAGAATTTCATCGTATTCTAGAGTTGCATCCAAAACTATTGACAGAGTTGGATGGGCTTTTACTGTCGCAGGTTTTCAAGATTCGTTCAAACTAACTACAGAGGGTACGATATTCACTAGAGAAACATATATTTTATGTGAAGCCTTGAAGTACATGAATATTAAAAAAATTGGGAAATGCCTTATTATAACAGATTCCATGAGAGCCCTTCTGTCAATAAATCAGTCAAACCCCCAAAATCCCATTATACTTTTCATTAAACAAAAGCTTCATGTACTCAAACGAAACCGAGCAGTAATCCAATTCATGTAGGTCCCATCTCATATGGGCATCCCAGGCAATGAACAAGCAGATCAACGGGCGAAAGCAGCCATCTTAAATCCAAAATGAATCACATTTACCTGAACTTCTTCTACAAACAAGAAATCACCAACAATTGGCAACATCAATGGTATATTTCCACCTCTAAGCTAGCAGAAGTAAATACATCACTACTCCCATGGAAAAATACCCCCAAAAACAGAAGTCGCCAAGTTATCCTGACATGGTTGCGATTGGAACATATCCGCTTAACACATGAATACCGCATAACAGGTGGTGAGAAACCAAGATGAGAAGTGCTTAAAATAAACCTGAGTGTTGAACATATTCTAATAAAATGCTTGCTATATCACATCGACAGATTCACTCATCACATCCCACAAACGATGAAAGATATACTTGGTGAAAATTGTGACGCTGAACAATTGATAGCTTTCCTCGAAGGCATGCACATTTTTTAACATATATAAATTGATTTTGAAAATCATATACTAATTGAACCATCTGTATTATGCCGTTGCTAAAACCCCTAGCGATTGATCCAACATTCTTTAAATTAAAAAAAAACTTGAGAGAGAAAAGTTGAACAACTATTTTTGAAACTTATGAAGGAATGAATGTATTATCTGCATGTGTTCTGCGTATTTATATTAAGTTTCGGTATACTGTTATACTCGTAGAACAAATTTCAGAATGATCAATAAGAGGCATATTAGGTTAGGTTAGGTTCAAAATGAGTGGGTCATTCTACCCTTCACCGCATCCCGCGAGGGTTTAACATATTCACAATCGACCAAATAAACCCAGCTTCTCAACGAGGCCGATTAATTTGTACGGTGGTGGTCTTTCAGGTCAGATGGTAAGAGTACAGCTCTGCCGAACTGTAAAAACCTGATTCGGTCCCCAGCGGGGCAGGCATAAAGTATGTGCTCTGCTGTTTCATCATTTTCCAAACAGAAGCGACACACACTGTCTTTCGACAGTCCGAGTCTCTGCATATGATGAATCAAATGACAGTGACCGTAAGAAGGCTTGTTAGACAGGCATTATACATGAATACAATAAATATATTTTACAAATTTGTTCTGAGCTTTCTCCATATTAAAATTTATGAATTCCATATGTTGGTTACCGAACACAGCTACAATATCCTGTAATCGATTTTACCAATGCAAGGTACATTATCTTTATAGAAATATTATTGGTGGAATCGTTCGTTTTCCTGCATATAAATTCTAATATCTTCATTGCTGTGCTAGAGATCCGTTCATATTGAAAGTGAAAATCCATTTTGACAACTACCAAAATACCAAGAACTCCTATATATTTGACAGATTCTAAAGATTCGCCTACTGTTGTATGCACATTGTAATAAGTAAGTGATCAAGAAAAAAACATGCTTTTGGTTTTGATATCATTATGAAAAATTTCGAATAGAAATGGTCCTGAATGGTTTCCTTGGACTACTTCTGAACTGATAGGGATTTCGTGGTTTATAAATCCTGTGATTTTTACAACTTGGGTTCACATGTATGAATAATTTGTGAGCCAATTCAATGAGTGCCCATATAGAAACCAGTTGTCTTCAATTTTGCACGGAGAATCCTATAATTGACTGTATTGAATGCTTTGGAAAAGCATTTACGAAATACTGAGAATAGAGCAACAAATTTGATGTAACTGCATTGAATCTAAAAAAAAAAGCGGCAAGGGTGTGATACTTTCCCAACAAAATTATTGAAGTAACAAATATTCAAATGATGAAGTTGAAGATGAAATAAAAGTTAACGGGTGATTATTAAAACGTTTCTGTTATTTCGAGAAAAACACATTTTCTAAATATGAAAATATCAATGACTAAAGTAATTTTTCACATTATGCAATTTCAGTCATTAACAAATGTTTCATTTGGGTAGGTAACGATAGCAATAGACTACATATCGTTAAATGAGTTTGAATTATTATGAAGACATTATGTAAACCTAGTAGGTAAACTTAAGGAAAAAAAAACGTGTGTGTCTCGGGACGGCCGACAGAAGTGATAACTTAAACTTATCTAAGTTGAACTATTCGATATTGTAATTGTTCAACATGAGAAAGGCTTAGGTTATTACTTAAAGTTTATGTATATTAATATGATAATGTAAGGAAAGGTTATTTATTAATAAAATCTTCTATTGATTATGTTGCATATGTATATATATTATAGCTACCATAAGCCAGTTGTTACTTTTGTAGGATTGATACTAATAATGTAGATACACAAAATTAGTATCATCATTTTTGAGCCACGTTTCACATAATAAAAGCATATGTGCTCGTTGGTTAGATTTTTATAATACTGATCGTCTGTCCGATGAGAGAGGAGGNAATAATAAAAGGGTTTAGATTTCCACTTTTTGGCGGATGCTGGGTTACATGAAAAAAATCACCCTTACAGGGTTTTCATCAAATTTGTTCGCTGTAAGCAGATTTAACAGTTTTTGGTGGTGCCAATAATTTTGTGGATGATCAGTCATTAGATAATGGGGCACGAAAGCTTGTTAGGTGGTTAATATAAGAAAAAGTATCTTGAGCTGCTCAGATGAAAATGAGTTTGTTTCATGTTACTGAATTACAAATGTTACAAAGTCTCAGTAACTATATTGATAAGGTGATATTATTATTTTTTCCTTAAACGAATGTGCCAGTCAGGTGTCTTCTGGAGCTCCAACACATTCAGAGTGAGTGATCATCAGATCTGGGAAATAGGTACCTTGAGTAAACACAGTAATATGAAAATCGAATAATTTTTCATTTGTTACACCAAGACTTTCATCATCTCAACATTGACAGTCATCATCATATCATGATTTTTCCAATAGTCAGAACCACCAGCTCAGCAAATGGAAAATTACTTGTTAAATATTGTCTCAGTTCATGTGAATGTGGTTGATACCACATGATGAAAATCGAATGATTTTTCATTTGTTACACCAAGACTTTCATCATCCCAACATTGAAATTCATCATCATATTATGATTTTTCCAACAGTCAGAACCACCAGTTCAGCAAATGGAAAATTCCTCGGTAAATATTGTTTTCGTTCATGTGAATGTGGTTGATACTGCTCGTTGAATGTTATCATAATAGTCTGACCGTATACATCATTGATAAATATCCACAGAGGTACTTTGAACTTTCATTTAAACCATTATTTCTCTCTGTGAATTATTTCAGCTCCAGACTACTTGATGTTATGATGGTGGGTCCAAACACCCTCTATTTTTTCTCAAATCATTGTTTTTCATTTGTTTGGTTTTTATACTTGTCAATACACAAATTCAAAGGTCTCCAGCTTTCATTGAAGTAGAACTTTCCACCTCTTTTCATATGATGGTGGTCGTTTGATTTGTAATTCTTCTTCATCTCTATTGCGATTTTTTTACGCTCTTGAGGTATTCCATAAAAATATCTGGTTCAGTTTGGTACTATTTTATGAATGTGTCTTCAACGCATCTCTCCAGATTCAAGCAATTCTTTGTATACGTTTTTCTACGATAGGTGGCAATACAGGAAAGTTGTTGTAGGGTCTTTCCACGTTCAAATTGATTTTCAGGTGAACAAATGTATTTTTTTCAATTTTTATTTTTACTC